CACACACACACACACACACACACACACACACACACACACACACATATATATATAACACCGATGTGAATGAACTATACTTCGAGATCCTTAGTAGTATAATAGAACAGATAAATTCTTTTTAGCTGCTTCTTTACAATTCTTTTTTTTCTTTCTTATAAACATACGTATATTTGTCTCATTTTAAGTATCAATAAAAATAAAGATTTTCAGCTAAAAAGAACGAACCTAACATGATACAAACACTATGGACTTCGGAGATATAATTTAGAACGTAGTAAAGAAAAATAAGAAATATATTAGTTAGTTCGGTTTTGCACACATCAGTCACAGCTCGGACTCACGTATTATTTCTTCATTTATACAAAACAATTCACTTTGCGGTTTTTTAAATCGCTTGCTTTTGTGTATATTGTAAAATTTTACTCATTATATTTTTAATCTTATCACAATAGTCTCTTACATCTCATTATACAATTCTTCCGTAATTTCAACGAACCTTTACATTTTGTATGTTTGTCATGAAACATACAGTATCGTGTGATGCATTTGGAATTTTTGTTGTAAAACAGTAATTAAAAATGGACATTGAAAGAATAACCCATGAAAAAATTAACACTACCTGAGAGATCGAATGCTCGGTCTTGAATACAAATGACAAGACGGAACGCGAATAATATTGGCTGTGTTCTTTCTGCGCGAGTCTAACATTAATTAGAATAAATAATAGTAATGATAGAATATGTAGTGTAAAAATTTATCTACACTTACATCTATATCATAATCGATTTCAGAATGAAGAAAGTGCAAAAAAATTTTTCCAATTGTTCATCATAAATATACAATTATATGAATTAGATGTGTGTTATAGTTTATAATTCAAGATTTAATTTCGAGCACCTATGATTGAGTAGGGGCATAGTATGCCCAAAGATTCCGAAGATATCACCTTGATTTTTTATGACAATTACAATTTTATTCAAAAATTCATGCTATTATTTTTTTCGTTTCATCACACATACATCTTTTAAGAAATGCTTGTTGAAAGAATACAAATAAAAATAATGAAATCTGAAATTTGTAATTGCATATAAATCTGAGATGATACCTCGAGCACTTTGACACGGCTTATTTACGGCTATAAGTCGGCCATAAAGAAATTTGTGATTTTCCTAAAAAGAAACGTACTATTTCAAGTTTTGGATCGAACGTTCTTTTTCTGCCACATCGTATGGCAACCCTAGAAGAGACTTTTTCATAATAACTTATAATTACTTATTGAGTTAGACCAACTATGCAAAATATGATTTTCTAAAATTGTCTGCTACGTAGATCCAGCGAACAGTGCTGTTATTCCCGTGTCAGCAGCATTCTTTGAGATCTCATCCACCCGAACCGGCTGAGACTTACCAGATACCTCTATCCGCGGTAAATTGTCTATTTTGACTTCTTTACGGAACAATTGACCTACACTTCTGCCGATAAGCTGTAAAAGACGATTTAAGATTTGATCATTATTATTATTAAATAATTTAAATGAAAAAAGTATAAGATACAATAAAAGAACTATGGAAATGATTCACCATATACAAATTTTTTACAAGACTTCAAATACAAACTTTAAGTTAAAGGATTAACCGGGATATATAAACATCTTTTGGATATTACAATCGTATACCTGATTAGTAATTTTCTTGAAGAGATCCTTCTTTCCCTTTTCGACTTTATTGCCTTTCGTGCTAACCACCGACATTTTCTCATCGAAGCGTTGCAAGTCGGCAGGATTGACCCCCGGGATTTGCTGCATCACCTCGATGATGTTCGGAAACTTAGGTCTTAGGCACTCGTAGACCTGCGCGCCCAGAGTGATAAGAGAACCTTGATTGGCTTCATGCTGACCATGTAGTTGTAAACCTTGAAGAACAGCAACCATGATGTGTGCTGCCATGGAAGGAGTGAGACTGCCATCAGCTGCCAGAGCTCGGACCACGGGTCCAGTTAACATTGTAGCCTTGAGACTCGCGTTTGAATCATTCCATGCGAGCGCTCTAGAGATATTAGAACATATTATTAACCAATAAGTTATTTAAAAAAAAGGGTAAAAAAAAACAAGAATTAAATCTTCCGATTTCACAATGAAATCAACGATACTTCTACTCATTATGATTATATTTTACCCTAGTACACATAGCACGACGCTGTGACAAGTGGACGGATGACGCAAAATGGAAGTCCCGAGTTCGCTGACGACCTCGGCGACGATACTATTTCCTCGCGAAAGAGGTGGGTCTACAGCCATTCCTCCGCTGTCTTGTTCCATAGTATCCGGAGGAGCGGCATCGCTAGCGGCTCCGCCGACCAGAGCCACTTTTAACACATCCACGAAGTCCCTAGTCAGATTTCTGTTAAGCATATCGTCGATAACTTCCTGCGTATCAGTGTTCTCCTCATCCAAACCGCCGGATTCGTACAGATGCGCTATGTACTGCCACTTTGTGCTTAATCTTTGGCACACTAGAAAAGAATTGCATTGATCGGAACGATAAGATATATGATCGTTTCACTTAACTTAATTTTATTCGGTGCAAAAAATAAGAAAATGAAAAATTGTTTTGATCACTCACTGTGTGTGGATACGTGAGCCAGTACAGGTAGTAGTACGCTCTCATAAAAAGCCGGCGGGCACGAGTATATAAATGGCTTCATAAACACGCGTATAATCGGCCGAAGTCTATAATCGGGAATCACCTGGAAGAGATAGAGATATATGAATAATTAATATACATTAATTTAAAAAAAGAATTTTATATATATATTCTTCTTTAAAGGGGAGGATAGGAGATTTGTACGATTCAATTAGAGCTAAAAATTTGTGAATTTAATTCAAAGGAAAGAATAGACACAGTTCAGGTATTATTTATTATATTTAAAATATATAAAAAATTTATTTGTAATACAAAATTTATTAAAAATATAAGTTTTCTATGTGTCATTAAAGACATACAGAGAAATTTATGAAAATTGCGAGTTTTGCCACGGAAACCTAAAATAGTATTTGAGAAATATTATTTTAAAATAATAAATAACATCAATTTTAGTACGAAAATTAGAGTTTTATATTTATGTTGTAACCATTTTGTAACAACATACATCTCTAATAATCTACTTTAAGTTCAATCTGAGTAAAAATATCATAAAGAAAATTAGACCAGAAAATAAACAATTACTTTTTTAGAAATAAAGGAATCGTGGTAAAACACGTGAGATACTTGGGCTTATATTCAAAGACAGAAAACTTATATTTTTAATAAGTTTTGCATTACAAATTAATATTCCACATCTCAAATACAGTGTTCAATACTTAAACAAAGATCTATTTAAAACTTTTTTTTAATATAAATTCGCAAATTTTATTTTAATTAAATAAATTTCCTATCTATCTTGATTTAGAAGATAATTGCGTTGAAACAAAACATTATTAAATTACCTCCATATTCGAGAAAACTGAGTTCAATAAGGCCGGTGCTAGTCCAGGCAACTGATAAAAATCTCGACCGATCATGTGACAGCCGCTACCTAACATATGGTAGCATTGGTCATGAACTGTACTCAGGAATGATTGCATTCGAACCAGAGAAGTGCTTAAAACCTGGTCCGTTTCACTATTATTGTCGTTAGTTATACTAACGCCTAAAAGATTCGCCTTTTCAGATTCCAAAAGTCCATAAGCATTTTTGTAGCCCTAGAATAAATACAGACGTATTTAGCAATTTTTAACAAGAACAAGATATCAAGATATTCAACGCAACTCCGTTATTTTACTCGTAACGATTAGTTTTTCGACATTTCCACGTCGAAGAGGATGAAATGTTATGTACTCTCACATCTTAAAATTCAATTTGTAAAATATTAAGTACTTATTACTGTTGTATAAACACATTTCTCTGACACACATAAAACAATTACAATATAAACTTCCTATTTAAGGTTACCTATATATTTATTTAAGGTTTTCAGCACATTAACACCCTTATAATATGAAATCGGATCAAAGATTGAGAATTTGCTTGTCAATTTAATTTAACTTGTGATATTATTGCAGTAGTTTAATTGCGTTTGAAAAAATCCAGAAAAAATTTCGGCGTGGTTTGAAAAACTACAAAAATATGATATATATGCATGTACAGGATATAGCTAATTCACTGTGAATTATTTAGGCATTGAGAAGATCTAGCTTTGACCGTTATAGGCTTGAATGTCTTTAGTATTTAATTTCATATCGGTTTTAATAAAATCTTATTATTGTTAATATAAACATTTCATACCAAATTTTTATGTATCCAATTTGCTCTTAGTCGAATAGCAACAGTAGCAATTGTTACCTCAGATAGAGCAGCAAGAGCAGCATGACTGAAGAGACCATTCATTGTTCGCAGTAGTGCGAACAGTGTTGGTAGAATAGGGATTATATGAGGTGTTGCTGGATTTCGATATACTGGATTGCCGCTCTCGCTGAGCGCGGCTACGAAGCCACCCCTGGCCGCGCGATCGGGATCTTCTGGGATTGAGCATCGTTTAACTACGCTCAGCATAGTGCAAATACACATCATAAGATCGCTGCGATTGCGTTTAGCTGGATCTTCCAACGCGTTCTCTACCGGTGGTCTGTCCAGTCCCACAAACTGCATAAGCTCTGGCGGTCCCTCGAACCATTCCGTGCCTAGCGCGATGAATTTACTGGATGCATCACTGATCACCTCCGTAACGAATCGAGTCTGTCTCTCATAATCGCAAAAATGATTCGAGATAAGGAGTAATGCTTCGTATAACATGACACTCTCCATTCGAGACAATGGGCTTGGCTCGCGGGTCAAACTGCGCACCATTGTGTGTATCTGCTCGAATACTGGCAGTAACAACAGTGGATACTTGAGACTGATTTTCACCATCAGACTGGCTGCATGTCGTCGCACGCTTTTGGATGCCCGTGATCGATTATTCTCGTTCTCACCAGGCGCCTCAAATACTAATGCAGCGAAGATCTTCTCAAGAACACGCGGTAAAATAGCAACACCCGGCATAGCCATCGAGCCAGTTGACATCGATAGAAATACGAAGAGTGCGCTTATACAAGAAAGTAGAGCGGATAGAAGCCAAGGATCTTGCGGTGAATAACCTAGACAGAGTTCCAACAACTGTAGACCCGTCTGTACGCTCGGCCGCTCATTGATTAGCAAGATCCTGGACACAACAGAGTCTAATGCATGTGCGAGGGCTTCCCATTCAAGATACTCTCGGTCGTTCTGATCGCTCTTGTATTGCAGATTTGCCATACCCTTGGTGATCTTCGCGGTCAGCCACTGTTGAACGTATGTAAATGTCACTAAAGGTGCCACCATAGTTGCATGTCTAAATCCTTCTAACAGATCCATTCTGAAGCGATGCAGAAAAACGTTGAACTCTTCCTCTGAGTCATAATCAACGAGGCAGTATGTGGTCATGCCGTTACTTTGTCTACCGTGTGGATATGTAACGCGGATCAACTTGGGTGCAGTATGCTCCACGTACTTGGGCACGTACGTAAGCAGTAACGAGTCTGTCTTAATCTGTTCGTGTTTAAACAGCATCACCCAAATTACGTTCGCTAAATGCGTGAGCGTAAGGCTCGAATACATGGTGAATGTGAGCACGGTGTCCAGAAAGAGATTGAAATGCGTCGGCCGTATGCTAGAGGCATCATCTTTTCCCCACAAGGCGCAAAGTTGTGTCGCCATACCAGTCAGTACCTGAAATAACAATCACATGAATAATGATCGGTTTTTCATAGCTGCTGAAACTATAAGATATCTTTATCGAATATTAATAGCGCGATTATAACAAATACTTGTGTGAGCTTCTTCAAAAATAAGTAATGATTTTCATGGAAATTTGTAGGTCCAGCCAGAGGCGGTGGAGCAGTGGCTGCAGTATAAATATATCTCAAAGCCTCCTCTGAGAACAAGATCATCAATTGTTTTCGGTCTTCGGCCTTGCCTTTACGATTTACAATCTGAAGCAGACATTCAGCAGCAGAACACTGAAATATAGGATCTCCTAATAGGAGGCATAGTATCTGCAACAATCTTCCATCCTCGGCCATGACATGGTTTATAGAAACCCATTCGACAAATCCAGTTAACGTGGATAGCACTACCTGTATAATGATACAAATTTTAATTGAAATACCAATCATTAGATACATGTATCCTTTTCGCAAAAACTTACTTGAACGACTTTACTATGTGCCGTAGCTTCGGATGTCTGTCCTAAAGCACTTTTCTTCTGAAACTCTGAAAAGTGTTGCTCCATTAGTCTCAGAAAAAAGCTGAAGATCTCAGCCATGTTCGTAGTCAACGCCTGATATATATCTTTCCTTCTTTGATTTGATTCGAGTGTCTGCAGGAGTGCTACATCTTCTACCAATCTGAGGAATACCAACAGGACTAATTCAGTTTGACTCTCGCCTTGTGTGCAAGCCTGACTAAGCTCGGCCAACAGTGTGGGCCACTGCTGAGGCCATTCACGCTTTATCATCTCAACTACGACACGCGACAGAGCATCCTTTATGTGTGCCTCTTCCTGTAACAGTGGTTGGGTGCCTTCTTGAAGTAATTTCATCGCATTCTCCTTGATGAAAATTTTTTCTGACTGTGAAATTTGTGTCCATCGATACTTCACACAATGCTCCATCAACTGCAGACCAAAGTGGCGTACCACTGAGCTTCTCTCGGGTGATTTCTGTGCCAAGTACAAGCCACATTGCGCACACAACGGTGAAGATTCCTTGAACCTCTCACAGGCATTGTACATTTCCAGGCGTTGCGGCTGAGATATACCAGGTGACATCATCATCTCGACCACTCGAGCCAGTTCTGCCGATATCTGGGCGACATCGCCTACTCCGAACTCCATTCCTACTAGCACTAAAATATGAAACAGATATGTTCAACATATGTAAACTACAATAAGCAACACTTGTTACATAATATCTTAACAACCACTTTATCTTTTTCTTTCTTATCAAATAAAGAAAAATATAGAGAAAATAAACAGAGGATAAAAATATCTTGTCCTATCTCTACAACAATTAATAACATATGTGTACCACTTGTAACGAAAAAGTCCTTGCACAAAAATTTTTCTCGACAATAATTAGCAATTGAAAACATCTAATATCATAATAAATATATTTACATAAAGCAATCAAACAAATTTATTTTAACAATTTCCCCGAGCTTGTTTAACGAAAACAGATTGAATTATTTGGTGACTGGCTCTGAATTACTAGTACATATCAACATTTCGCGCAATTTTGCGAAACTGATGCAAGATATCGTAACGAAACATCAATCTGGGAGCCGGTATAAATAATCGAAACAAGATCCGCAGGTTCGCTCACGCCGCGAGGGCGTATATACGCGAGGAAATCGGCGGCGACGGGCGTTGCGCTCGTTGTCGGCGAGGTCGTGTCCTCCAATCGGGGAAAATTCACGGGTGGACACGCACGGGCACACGCGACGTGAACACGCGTGGACGAAGCAGCTTGTCGCGTGCACGCGCTCGCTCGCTCCCGTACTTACTCACCTAACTGACGCGAAACTGCGGTACGAGACGGAGCTTGGCGGGGGCCGCGTGGACGGCGCGGGATTCTCTCCGGCGTCGCGCCGCGCGTCAATTCATACCTGGATCCGTCTTTGGGAGGGGACAAAAAAAATCGCAAAATCAACGCGCGCGATGCGACGATCGTGTGCTACGCTCGTCACACAGCACTTTTCCGGAGAATGCGGCAGTGGCACGCTGGCCGGACGATCGCATACATGAGTTACGTGCTGCCCTCTCGACGGCACCGTGCCGCCACTGCCGCTGCGCCGATTTAACCTAACTTAACTCGACACCGGACGTGTGTATGTACACACGCTTTTTTTCCCCTCCGAATCGCGGTGAGAAAACAAAGTTGTGGTTTGATCTATTCTTATCTACTGGTTTCCCCGGTCTATTTATATCGCGTGTTTCTAATCCTTCTCTTTTTTTCCCTTACATTAATAATCGATCGATCACGGTAAAGTCCCGCAAAACTAACCTATCTCGCGCCTTGTAGGTTATGCCGGCTCCGTTTCTACTCGTGCACATACCTACGTATCGAGGACGAGAGAGATAGGATGGACGAGGCAGTCACTACACCGCCTACATTTAAACGGAGTTTCTCAGAGCGGATTTACTGTGTAGAGTTTTCGCCGTACGAGTGGTCGCAGCACTTGATCTGCATTGCTCTCGCCAAGGAGATCGTCGTTGGTACTGTCAGATTTCAGGTTCGTGCGAGGGGTCTCTCGATGAGAATTGTACTTTTTTTAATTTTGCTAAAAATTGTCAACAATCAACGTGTTGACGAAATAGAAATTATAGTTGTTTTTTACTTATCAAATCTTGGATACCTAAGCAGAACAATAAGTCATTATGATATCAAAATGATGTCAAAATAACTCCAAAATGATCACTAAAAGTCATTTTTCAATCATTTCCGATTCATTTTAATGTCATTTTGATGTTATCGTGATTTGCTGTTCTGCTTGGATAATTTTCATTTGTGATATCTTAACTTAGTTCTTGACACACATTCCTTTTCATTCTGACAAGTAAGATTCAATTCTTTTGAGTTTTTACTTAAAATCTGCATAAACTCGAAGTCATGTGCTTTACAGAGTCTTGTTAACTCACATTAAAAATAAGATTGTGTAAACCTGTGTTGTTATGTGATAACTTTGTTAAACAAAGTAAGCAAGTAGTGTGATGTTATCTTGATATAAAATACTTACATACATATAGACAAAGTCAAATCTATTCATTTCTATTTTACAAATTTTAAATAATAGGATGAAGACGACGCTGTGGAAGACATGGCATATAGTCCTATTAGAACGTTTCATCACGATGCCAGGCCCCATGCGATTGCTTGGAGCCCAGAAACCTCCCTGAGTATTGTCCCAAAAATTCTCACATTTTGCGTTGCTGGATCAGATTTCAAAATAAGATTGTATAATAGCAATCTGAATGACGTTAATATGTTCGAGGTAGGAATACCTTAAGTGTTATGTAAGTTTATAGCGCTATTAAATCCAATGGTGTAATAGATGTTTTAAAGATTTTAGAAGGCCATAAAGATTATATGAACGCAATCTCCTATGAACCAGAAGGTGAACTATTGGCGTCAGTCTCTGACGATCATACATGTAAGCTGTGGGCAGTTAAAGAGAACCAAAAGTGCGTGTCTACATTTTACTTAACGTCACCTGGGACTAGCGTATGTTGGCATAATGAAGAGTCTGGCAAGCTCTTAGTAGCAGAAAAGAACGGTTTAATACGGATGTACAATGTCAGAAGTCATCAAGCTATTATGTCCCTTGATTCAGGGGTTGTTCCCTTGACTGCAGCTGACTGGGGACCCAATCCCTTAAAAGTCGCATCGATAGCCGCTGGAGAATTGCTGCTTTGGGATGTGTCCAGACCCAGGTAATAAAATATTTAATTTTAAATCCTTTTATATCATATTCAGGTCTGTTCTTTTTAGCTGAACTTTTTGCACAGTTCACTTTTTTCTTTTTTCTCCAATGTGAGAAAAGGAAAGTTAAATTGTAAAAGTTTAATTAAAAAGAACAGCTTATTGATTCGTGCTCTCTCTTTCATTAAATTTATATATTCATTTCCAATTCTAGTCGTCCTCTTGATGAGCGAACACTTCATGTGGAAGGTGGTTTAACAGTAAAAATCTCACATGCGAATGAAAATCTGGTATCAAGTATTGGGTGGCCGGATAATTTATTGAAGGTTGTTAATTTAAAATCGAAAGTAGTAGTATTGTGTGGAAAGGTAAAGTTAATTGGTGGTATGACATGGCATTATATATATATATATATATATATATATACATACACGATTTTATCCATGAATTAAATCTCTGTCTTTTCAGAACTAGGATGTTACATAACAAATTAGATTATTTTCTTTTTATTAATATTATGCTTTAATGTTTCTTTATAAGTTGATTAAGAATTAATTTTTATACAACACATTAGTAATACATTGAGGTATTTTGATTTTCGTTGGAAGTATATTCTCTTATTACATATATGCGATAAATTAATTTATACATATATATACATATAAATCTTTTGGAGGTAAAAAATTTTACACTTGCGTAAAAATGCGTACAAAAGAAAAAATGTATTTTTATAATGAACTGTATAATTACAAGATTTACATGGACAATGTATATGAATGTACTTTATCATGCGTAGCTTATCATTTATAACAATATAAAAATCTATTCTGCAAGTTTTCTTTACATTTGTATTTGAAAAACTGTTTCATTTATTTAATGAAATATACTTATAGTGAGACATATTCCGATTGCAAATTTCCTTCTAATTCAAACGTTTTCATGTCCTCTCCAAATTTATCTAAAAATCGTGAAAGTTGTTTTTTGGTACTATCTCTCAATTTCTTAGCAAGTAAAAAACAAGATTTCTGAAGAACGATGTTAGGATCAGGTATGTAAACTCGATCTTCATTGAATTTATTTATATCGAATTTGAGCTTCTCTGCTTCTTCCTCAATATTCCTATATTCATCACTATTTTCGATCTTGTCTTTTGTCTCCACTGAAACATATATATTTAAAACATTATGTATATATAAGACAATGAATTATTATTAAATTAATCTATCATTGCTATGTACAATATATCAAATAAATCCAGGGTTGCAACAGAAAATAAATTTTAAAATTCCCTGACTTCCAGATTTTCCATGACCAATTTCAATTTCCCTGACTTTTCCCAGTTTTCCAGATCTGTGGCAATCCTGATTAACTAACAACAGATTAGAAGAAAGAACTAACCCTCACAACTTGTGGCAAGAGCCATAAGTTGGTCCTCCAATTGATTATATTTAGAAATCTTATTCTGATGAGATACGTTTGTTTCGTTTATGGCATCTTCTAGCAAATCTAATACCAACTGCGTAAACTGTAGTTCTTCTTCAACCGATAGCTTTTCTAAATATTTCAATAACCAATTCAGAATACCGATACATAAATAAGCGCGTATACTCTGCGATACAGGATAATCGCTTTTTGCGTAAATGCTATCCTCGTCCGTTCGTTTCTTAGTGTCCAGTTTTGTGAGAACATGCGTGAAAAATCCTTCTTTTATCGTTGTTGCGTATTTCAATGCTCTATTTTCGAATTCGAACACGTTACCTAATGCCGTTGTTAAATGTTTCAATCGGGTCTCTTTTACATCGGACGTAGCCGCCATGGCAATTTGGTAACTAATATTTATTTGCATCTAAAAAAGATAATATAAAGAAATATAATACAAATTTGTTATTATACGCGAAAAGTATTGAGAATTGTTATTAAATATTATCTACGAAAAGAGTACTGATCATTTTTATTTTTATCTTCTATATCTTACCACTTTATCGTTTGTTACATTTCTCAGAACAATGTTAGTATCATCTTTTTTTCGTAAGAGATCGTAGTAACAAGTACCATATTTTTCCTCAAGAGTTTGTAGCATACCATTATTTTCCTTTCCTTCCAACCACATCTTCATCATATCGAACTCAGTCTGTTCTAAGAATGTACTCACGAATATCTCATGAGCGTCTATGTGTACGTTTAGATACTATACAGAAGATTTTTAGTTATTTATGAATATAAAAAAATATGTATATATATGTGTGTACATGCGTGTGTGTAAAAATGTACCTGAACTTGTCGGATGTCTGCTATAAGGGAACGCGCTTTCGGCCAGTCTGGCTTCATAAGGGCGCGCGACATTGCGTCTACAGCCAAGGACGTACCAAATCCTTCGTCGCCGCTTAAAAACGCTAATTCTGATGCTGCCTCCAAACAATATAAGTCTTTTCGACGAGAAAGAACCTTTGATGCCTTGTCAAAGGATCCCAATTTTACGTGACTGTAGTATATGTAACATCAAAAGAGTTAATTTAATAGAAATTTTTTACAGCCATTAATTATTTATGTTTATGTTTTAATATTATGTAAAATAATATTTTTACATCGTGTAAATGTGGAAAATATATTTTTCATTTATGGCACACTACAACTTAGGATGATTAATAAAAAATATTAATTTACAAAAAATAATTGTCTTACCAATGAGCTGCCTGTTCCAAATGACCTTTAAAAGTGGCCCATTCAGCCCAGGATTCTAATATTTTATTTAAAAACATATCGTCATCATCCAATTTACATCTCGCAAGTGCATAAGCCTCCTTAAACAGCTTAGCATTTATAAATACTTCTATGGCTTCATGAATTTTGTGTATAGCTAATAAATACGACACCGCTTTTTCAGGATTGTGTTGCAGTATCAATTGATGAGCATACGCCTCGCACATTTTTCTCCACATTCTGTAAAATCAATTTCGATTGTATTCAATAGTCACTAATTGTCTTATATTTGTTGAGATATTCGTACGTACTTCAAGGAAACATTAGGTGCAAGCGATACTAAAAAATCATTTAATTGTTGATCCCTAGCTGCACAAATTAGATTGCTTTCCAAATCACCACACCACATATTCAACTCAGTAACGATATCTAAATTGTCATGTGCTAACTCTGTAAATAAATAATAAATCATTAATGTCACATAATAATCTATATGTATTAATTATAACACAATGTTAATATATTATACTTAAACT